AGGTCCTCGTCGACGTTGTCCCCGACGCGGGCCTCCGCGCGGCGCCCCGTGGCCGCGCGGCACAGAATGGAGGACAACTTCAGACACAACTGCTTCCATTTTCACGTCCGCTTCCCTGGGGCCATCGCGGGCTGACCGGGCCCCGTCGGAAGTTCCGGCCGCGGCCCCTCCTCGGCGAGGACGCGCCCCGCGCGGTTCAACGTCGCGCGGGGCGCTGGGAGAGTACACAGTTGGCTGAGAAAGACAGGCTCGAGCCGAGGGCGCCTGCGGATTCGCGCAGAATACGGCGCCCTGAGGCCCAGCGACTTGGCGGCGCCCCTGAGTCTCGGGAGAGACCGCCCTGATGTTATTATTCCTCTGCCCCCCCCTGGAAAGTAACAGATATTGATCGCGCTGCGTTTGCCGGCCCCTGCCAAATGCGCTCTCGACCGGCTGCCGTCGAGCGCCTTCCATGTGATAGCGCCACCAGGCAAAACAAATATCCTGGCAAAGCAACCTAACAGCGATGTGTAGAAGCATATCTGGAAGCATTCCCCTTAAGATTCAGGTGAGAAGCCAGTTGTAGAATTCTGCTGTTCTCGCAGTCGCAGTCGCATTCGCAATGACAGTCGCAGTGGCAACGGCCTCAGGATCCAATGGAATCCAAAGGATCCCTGGGGAATCCTAAGGCATCCTTAGACATCCTTAAGAATCCTTAGCCCCAGCCTCATCAGCCTCAGCCTCAGCCTCAGCCTCAGCCTGCTTCAGCCTCAGTCTCAGCCTGCCTCAGCCTCAGCCTGCCTCAGCCTCCTGAGACTGCCTCAGCCTCAGCCTCAGCCTGCCTCAGCCACAGCCTCAGCCTGTCTCAGCCTCAGCCTGCCTCAGCATCAGCCTCAGCCTCAGCCTCAGCCTCAGCATGCCTCGGCTTGCCTCGGCCACAGCCTCAGCCTGCCTCGGCATCAGCCTCAGCCTCAGCCTGCCTCAGCCTCAGCCTCAGCCTGCCTCAGCCTCAGCCTCCCTCAGCCTCAGCCTCAGCCTCCCTCAGCCGCAGCTTGCCTCAGCCGCAGCTACAGCCTCAGCCTCAGCCTCAGCCTGCCTCAGCTTCAGCCTCAGCCTCAGCCTGCCTCGGCTTGCCTCAGCCTCAGCCTCAGCCTGCCTCGGCCTCAGCCTCAGCCTCAGCCTGCCCCAGCCTCAGCGTCAGCCTCTCAGCCTCAGCCTGCATCAGCCTCAGCCTCAGCCTCAGCCTCCCTCAGCCTCAGCCTCAGCCTGCCTCAGCCTCAGCCTGCATCAGCCTCAGGCTAAGCCTGCCTCAGCCGCAGCCTGCCTCAGCCTCAGCCACTGCCTCAGCCTCAGCCTCAGCCTCAGCCTGCCGCAGTTTCAGCCTCAGCCTCAGCCTGCCTCGGCTTGCCTCAGCCTCAGCCTCAGCCTGCCTCGGCCTCAGCCTCAGCCTCAGCCACAGCCTCAGCCTCAGCGTCAGCCTCTCAGCCTCAGCTTGCCTCAGCCTCAGCCTCAGCCTCGGCCTGCCGCAGCCTCAGTCTCAGCCTGCCTCAGCCTCAGCCTGCCGCAGCCTCCTGAGCCTGCCTCGGCCTCAGCCTCAGCCTGCCTCAGCCACAGCCTCAGCCTGTCTCAGCCTCAGCCTGCCTCAGCATCAGCCTCAGCCTCAGCCTCAGCCTGCCTCGGCTCGCCTCGGCCTCAGCCTCAGCCCGCCTCGGCCTCAGCCTCAGCCTCAGCCCCAGCCTCAGCCGCAGCCTGCCTCAGCCTCAGCCCCCCTCAGCCACAGCCTCAGCTTCAGCCTGCCTCAGCTTCCCTTAGCCTCAGCCTCAGCCTCAGCCTCAGCCTGCCCCAGCTTCAGCCTCAGCCTCAGCCTGCCTCGGCTTGCCTCAGCCTCAGCCTCAGCCTGCATCGGCCCCAGCCTCAGCCTCAGCCTGCCTCAGCCTCAGCGTCAGCCTCTCAGCCTCAGCCTGCATCAGCCTCAGCCTGCCTCAGCCGCAGCCTGCCTCAGCCTCAGTCTCAGCCTGCCTCAGCCTCAGCCTGCCTCAGCCCCAACTACAGCCTGCCTCGGCCTCAGCCTGCGTCAGCCTCAGCCTCAGCCTGCATCAGCCTCAGCCTGCCTCGGCCTCAGCCTCAGCCTGCCTCGGCGCGCCTCAGCCTCAGCCGCGGCCTGCCTCGGCCTCAGCCTGCCTCGGCCTCAGCCTGCCTCAGCTCGGGCATTCAAAATATGGCACAAGACTGGTGTTCTGGGAATACGAAGATCACGAAGTGGCCTACAGTTGGCTCCGGGCATTCAAAATATGGCACAGGAATGATGTTCCGGGAGCACGAAAAACACGAAGTGGCCTACAGTTGGCCCCGGGCATTCAAAAAAGGGCCTGGGAGTGGAATTCTGGGAACACGAAGATCACGAAGTGGCCTACAGTTGGCTCCGGGCATTCAAAATATGGCCTGGGAATGGTGTTCTGGGAACACGAAGAACACGAAGTCGCCTACAGTTGGCTCTGGGCATTCAAAAAAGGGCCTGGGAATGGTGTTCTGGGAACACGAAGAACACGAAGTGGCCTACAGTTGCCTCTGGGCATTCAAAAGAGGGCCTGGGAATGGTGTTCTGGGAACACGAAGAACACGAGGTGGCCTACAGTTGCCTCTGGGCATTCAACATGTGGCCTGGGAATGGTGTTCTGGGAATGGATTCCTAAGGATTCCTAAAAATTCTGAAGGATTCCGAAGGATTCCTGGGGCTGCCGGTTTTGTCCGGTTTTGTCCGGATCCCGCCCAGACCCCCCTGGGGAGTCATGATGCTCTCTTATGACACTACTAGAAACCTATCAGTCTTCGCTGTTAAGTAAAAAAGATGAACCTTTCCGAGCTGTCCGAGCATCTCCACCAGGAGCAGCGAGGGCACATCGCAGGCAATCGAATGCACCGCAAGAGCACCACAGCCCTTTGCCGCGGCAATAGACAGAGTAGGTATCTGCATGGGCTTCAGACTGCAGGCATGCTCAAGATATGCCACCATTTTCTCGAACTCATCTTTGCCACATACTCCACGCTGAGTTCCAGCACCCAACACGCCGAAACCCATCTGAACCTGAAGTCCATTGAAAATCTGACCTCCAGCGTCGGCAGTAGCAAAGATAGGACAGGCGAAGGAACTGACCTCCAGGCTGGATCGCAGGCCCCCGTTGTCGAACGTCGCGCAGGGCATCGCGTGCTTCGAGGGGAACTGCTTGGAAGCCGCCGAAGCCTGTTAATCGCTTGCGCCCTCGACCGTCTGGCTCGTTCGCACGCTCTCGAGCCCGGTGCCCCTTCTCCCCGCGTCGGGCGCTCTTCGAGCGGCTCGTCAAGTCACTTTTGGTCCACTGCTTCGGTCGGGCATGTCCCGCGCGTGTCCGTCGACGTCTTCCCTTTCGGGGACCTTTGGGCTTTCCTTTTAAGGGCTGGCGTTTAAAAAGCCTCGTCCAAGGTTCCGTTTGTGTGGGAACTGTCGTACCTGACTGAAGTTAGCATTGATGACGATGGCCTCATCTTCGTCTAGAACCACGTCGTCGGGCAAGTCTCCAGCTACGAAGAAACATCGTCATCGCCCATGCACTTGATGGCCTCATTCATGGTCTCGTCTCCCTCATAGGACCCGGGCAAAGTAAACAAATACTGTTGCATGAGAATCCAATGGAAATCATGGCGATCCGACTCCTGATCCTCGTACCCGTCAGCATCTTCATGGTATCCGACAAATTGAGAGGAGGAGCTCATGCCATGGATACGATGGCCGCCTTTGCCAGAAGGTAGTGGCCGTTCAAGCTTCCGAAGCTTGTCGCACGCCAAGTCAAAGTCGCATGATTCCTCTGTCCAGTGCGCAACCGTATCCCAAGCAGCGTCATGAAGCTTGGATTCTCTTAGAAGCACGTACCTTTTTTAAGTCCTCTGGCAGGGCCACGTGCTTCTCGAGTTCTTGGGAAAGCACGCGCGCACGCGCGATATAATTGACAAGGGATTCATCTCGCTTGCGCCTGGTGTCCTCTGAGTAGAAAAGCTCCTCGAAAGCTTTCGGCATCCTGCGGTCTTGATACTCGGCAAACGCCTTGTGGCTGTGTTCCACCACGATCTGCCCGCCGTCCTCGGCAGACAGCTGGTCCTGGGTAAGTTCGCGAATGATGATCTCGAGGTCGTCTTTGGCATAACCATAGAAGAAGTATCTGCGCTGTGCTCGCAAAGTTCTGGTAAGAGCGAGCCACATCTGCAACTCCTTTATGTAAGGGTCTAGACGAGTATCCGGATCGTTTCCATCCCAAGTGGG